TTTGTTTTTGCAAAATTCAAATATGTACATTTGTGTGCATATTTGCCCGCGAACAAAGTGTAAATAAAACATATGGTGGCTAAACACAAATGTAGATACTTACATACATACTCATGTACATATGTAGATATACATACATCAGGGTGCATCAGCTTTTCCATAGAAAACACAAAATTTACTGTATTTTAAATCTTCCGCCAAAATATTTCGAAAAAAAAACATTAAGATTTACGTGAGCTGGACCTATTTGAAAGATCAAATTTGTTATAAATAAATCTTGCTTTTAAAATATTGTGGAATCAAAATATCACGCAAATCTTAATATTTTAACGAAATACTTTGGCGAAAGTCCTAAAATATAATAAACTTTTTAATTCCGGTGGAAAAACCACAACTTTTTTTTGGTGGTGCACCCTAACATACATACATATGTACTTAGTATATGCGTATATAGCGCTTACGTACATAAAAAGTAACTGTATGTACACATTTTTGGATATATTAATTATAATGAGCAAACCACGAGATGAATCTCGCGTACACGAAGTTTTTCTATAAAGTGTCGAAGGCGACTTGGTGGAAACGGACGAAATACTATTGAGAAAACAAACAATAACTGAGTCGTTAACCAGCAAGTAGAACGACTTGTTGAACCGTTTTGATATGTGACATCCAAATTGTTGAAGAAACGAATTCATGAACGTTTCACTTTTGGAGGTCGCTCTGCCCCTCAGCTATATATGTATGTACATACATACAGTGCCGGCCCCTGAATAGCGCCCTGTTTTAGTCGTCTGTGTTGACAGTTTTCCTTTTGTTTATTTAATATTTAATAATTATATAATACAGCATACATCATAATAACAAGAATCATGCAAATCCGGTTTTCAAATTAATACAAATTTTATAATAATTCAACAAATTTTTATCAAAATTTAAAACTCTTGAGTATGTAGTTTTGTAGCACATTAAATCTTAGTATCACAAAGGTATGTTCGCCTATTTTATTATTGGAAGAAAATGCGATACACTCTCGGCTAAAAAAGTGGTCAAAATTAACGCAATTTTTTAGAAACTTGAGGCGTGCACCTTATTTTACTGAAATTGCTAAAACCTCATAGAATATGCCATTTTTATAAAAAAGTAATGAATATTAAATAAACAAAAAGAAAACTGACAGTAAGGATCAAAGGGGGCACTAATCAAGTGGCCGGCACTGTATGTACATATGTAAGTGTCTGCAGATGGACATTGACAGTCATTGGGTGTCTGCATTAAAACTAAACCCATTTTGTGATGGTGTTTATTTATTTTTGCATACCACATACTTACATATGGCACTGGCAGCCGTCATTGATTGATTTGGAGTACCTGTTTTGGAAAGTTTGCTGCTGAGCTGTGGCACGTACGGCGCAATTGCGTACAGCTGCCAGAAAAGCACATTTAACAAACAAATTATGTACACAGTGCATTTGTATATTTGTGTATGAGACCACCTACAAATATATGTACATATACACATATACATAAGTACATTTGTACCTACCCGCACACAGTGGCGTAGTAGGGCTATTAACAACACACGTTTCTGGTCAACCAGTAAATTTTCAAAATGAAATACCCGGCGTGATTTGTGGCGCACTATGGGCTAAATCATATTTTTTTTGTTTAAAATGTAAAATTTTTTTGTGAATAAAGCTCAAGTTCTGTCGATTAAAGGAAAACTAAAGCTAAGTTGACCATGTTCAAAGAATTGATGATCTTTGAATTTTTTTTGCTGTATCTCAGAGGCGAATCACGATATCGATACAATTTTTGTTTTAAATAGTAGTAAATTAAATGTACATTAAGGAAAAGCTTATTAGAATACCATCAATCCCTAAATTAGGGGTTGAAATAAGGGGTGAATAGCTAAAACCCAGAAAATTCACTGAAAAACATTCTAAAGTGTTTTCGTAGGAGGCGAAAATGATTCGAACGAAACGAATTATTGCGCTAGCTCTCTTCCTTCTCGTTATATCAGATTAAAAAAAATAAATGTGATTTAGCCCATAGTGTGGCGCCTTAAAACTATTTTTGTGTAACACCCAGAAAAAAGTCAGCTAGANAATGTGATTTCGCCCGTAGTTTGGCGCCTTAAAACTATTTTTGTGTAACACCCAGAAAAAAGTCAGCTAGAAACATTTCTCTCAGCACGTGATTTGGTAAATATAACCCGACGTTTTTCTGGGTGTATGTTGTTAAAGAATTTTTTTGAAATAAGACATTTCCTAACGTACCTCTTTCGGTTGTTTCATGCGGGAGGTCATTCAGCAAGCTTGAAATGATCAGATCATACTTGAGTTCAACCTTGAGTCAAAGTAGACTTAAAAGTTTTGATTTTTTTCTTTTGAAAATGTATAGCACCTAAACAAATTCAACAAACGATTACAACCATCTAGAAAAGCCAAAATTTCATTTACCTGTTTCTTATGGAAAAAGGTAACAAAGACGAAAATTTCTGACGAAATCGTCAGAACAACATCAGCTTGAAGCCCCTCAACCATCGCGTTCGGGGTGGCTACCCCTCCTAGTTACGACACTGTACCGATTCTTACATACATATGTATGTATGTATATATGCACATTAATATTTAGATATCTACATATGTATGCATAAACGCATAAGAGCCGTTTTAATGCAATTCATACATATGTACATATGTATAGGGACAAGCCCCGATTCTTGGAAAAACAAACAAAGCGAACTTAAATGGACTGATGAAATAATCCAGGGTATTTTTTCTTTAACTACTTTCATATGCTGCATAGAATCTCATATTTTGCAAAAATCCCCATTGTTTGTGCAATAAATAAATATGTACTTAACTTCTAAAGGGACGTGGTCATATGAGCTACAAATGTACATTGTCAACAAGCTACATGACATACACCGTCAAAAATAAATGAGCGAAAATAAATGAAAAATTCGGTTACAAAAATTATTTTTTTAAATAAATATTTTTTTTTTTTTTAACAAAATGGAACAAAATAAAATAATGTAAAGAACTAAATAATGTAATGTAAAACAACAAAAAATGTTAGAAAAAAATTAAAACAAAACAAAAAAAATTAAGTCAAAATTAGGGTAAACGAAAACCAAAAAAAAAACTATAAAATTTAAAATTACATGTGTATGTACATGTAACACAAATTAGAAAATTAAAATTAAATTATATATGGCAGAATTATGATTCGTTTTACAATTCTTACACATAGTGAGTCATTCTAAAACAAATTTTCTTAAGTTTTCTATACATTTGTTGGTGTTGGTTAATATTTCCGACAGAGTGGGAAAACTTGAAAAGGTTTGACGGAACTTCGCTCCAAAATAAATTTAATAAATCATTTTCTATTAGAGTTGGGAGTTCTATCCTGATTTTTTGAATATTCGGATGCTTTTTATGAGATCCATTTGATAGTTGTACTTAGTTCAGTGAAAATCGAAGTCTCTTTGTAAATAAGAAATCGCCGTCATCCGCCTTTCAATGTTCTCTGATTGTCCAACAGTTTTAGAACTCCTACAACCCACAAACCATAAATAAGTCTTCTCCAAATGCTAAGGTGGGCTGGAGGTGGCGATGATGATACCAGGCTACTTAAAATCCATTCGCGATCACCTAATCATCATTATCTTCAGTAAGGAAAGTAAGGTGATAAAAATATTTAGAAAATGTATGTACATACATATATGGAGAATAGGAGAAACAGCATGATTTTAGGTTTGCTAGAAGGGCATTGCAGATACATACATAAATTGCGGATGACTGAGTGGATTTCAAAGTCCAATGCAATTCAAAAAATTTTAGGTTATCATGGAGACGAGTTTTTATGGCGATTATAAATACGCAACACTAAACGGTATATGCATACATACCTACGTACATACATTTGTACATTTTAATTAATTATTTTTCTTAGCGAGCTATAGCAGCAGCCAGTAACCTAAACCAGTTAAAACAGTTGTGGGTTGACGACAACGACGTCTAAAGGTGTGCTTTGCATTTAAATAACAAACACGCAGATTAGAAGCGTGTTGGGTGTGTTAGCATTTGTTAGAAACCAGGGTCCAAATCGAGGGGCTACTAGCGACTAGGAAAGAGGCAAGTAAAAACAACATTCCAAGTGTACAAAAAACAAAAAAAAAATAAAAACTGGTATACCCGCGACAACAAGATGTACGAAAAAATGAGAGCGACAGACACGGTCATAAACTGGCATAAAGCATAAAGGAATTTTGTGTTAATAAATGTGGAGTACATATGGGATGTTACTGAGAGCGCCACAAACGTGCCTCCAAACTGAATATCTACATATATCTATATACATACATACACGATTGAGAGAATACAAAGGTTGCGCCGATCTCGGTACCGCTATTTTTCTCTTAACGAATTTGACAGAATCGTTGTTTGCATGACGTCACACTGGTGCAACTTGTTTACGTTTTCCTTTGCATCATTTTTTCTTCTTCTTCCATTCTTGCTCACGTTTTGGCATTTCTCTCTCGCAATTGCACCAGTGTGACGTCACACAAAAGTTATTCTCAAAAATCCTCTCTGATCGGCGCAATCTTGTATTCTATCATTCTTGACATACATATATAAACACATATACACGCCCAATAATATATATATGTACATATGTATGTATGAATATAAGCACGTGTGTTGCCGAGCTTAATGTTAAGGCAAACATGTATACGTATGTACATACCTACATAGTTTTGGTATAGGTACAAACATATCACACAACGCCTTCAAAAGCGTCACAACTCAAAATTTAGCATTTTTGAGATTATGCGCTAAAAATGTACACTGAGCTGTTATTTGCCTTTCAGCAAATGCTGGAGCAAATTTTTGTTCTAATTTGATTAAAAAAAACCTAAGGTAAAGTCGCCCTCGCCCATATGATTATCATGTGCTAAGAAATAGTTTATCGCATTTTCTGACAAACGTATTATTTTGAGTTGTGACTCTTTTGAAGACGGTGTGCGATATACATACATATTTAGTTAGTTTATATATAGTATACACGAATGGCGCAAATCCGAATACGCGAGTACGCATACCTAAGTGTGTATTAAAAACACTGTTCTTACTCTTTATAGTGTTGGAGAAGCGGTGGGTACCTACATACATACATTGGGAGTATGTTGTATATTGGTTGTTGGTCAATTGATGGGTTCAGTATTACACTTATACAAGCGCTTGTGTATTTGCCCACTTTTTATTTGGAAGATTGCTGACTCACGCATACCCGAACGCTCTCAGCTCTCGCAGATTGCTTCTCCAGTCGAATTTCCAATCTATTATTAGTATTTGTTTTTCTTATTTGGCTTTGTATAGGTATAAAATGCTCAGTAAAATGTTGTACTTCACTCGCAAATATTTCTCTACTTGTACTCTCCTCCATTACTTTCTATACTATATCCATACATACATATACATATTATATTCCTATGCATATGTTAGGCCTTTTTATACTCTCATATCTCTATGTACGTTTTATACCCGCTATGTACATACACGTTACTAATTGTCAATTTTGACCTTCAAGGTTCCTTCAAACTCAACAACGGAGCTGCCGCAACGAGCTGTGAGCTGTGAAAACGAAACTGAAACGGTTATTCAACCAACAGACTGAATTGATTCCGAGGCGAACGCTTAAAGACAACGGTTGGTCGAGCGGGAAACTATAAAATCGTGCTCTACTAAAAAGTTGAAGGAAACAATTCTGTGTAGAAGGAAACTCAGACGGGACTTGATAAATTTTTCAAAAGAAAGATATTCTATTAAATCAACATCACTAACGGTGATTATTAAACCGATGTGCATTTAGGACTTCTTTGAGTGAGTGAGTGTTTCGTGCATTTTTTTTTGGTTGTGTTAAATTTGTTTTTGCATCCGCATCCGATTGCAATTTGAGCAAAACAAAAGCCACCAAAACAGAGACATACCAACAGAATAACGAACACGAAAGAACCGAAACTTGCATATCCAACAACAAATATAACTGAAATTGCAACAGCAACCAGAATAACTGCAAGAGTGCAAGCATTAAAAAAAAAATAGAAAAGGCGGAAAGCTTTGAAATATCTTTGCAGCAGATGAGAGAGAATCGAGGAGGCAGAAGTAACAGTACATTGCAAAAGCTATAAGTGAAAATACGGACTACTAGTGCTAGCTCTCTTATTCGCAATATATCTGACAGATACATACATACATATATAGAAAACATACTGATAACTACGCGCACAACCCACAGTAGCGCGCAGGTCTTGAGCTAAAATAAGCAAAAACTACTACATATTTCAAAGTCACCAAAAGCTGCGAGAGTATCTAAAACGTAGATATTTTTGCGAAAAAGTATATCTATCTATCGTTTGCATTCAACTAATCGCGGAAGCGTACAAACGTTGAAAAACAAAAAAAAACTACATTCATACGGCGCGGCGTTGTGCAAAAAAGCTAATCAAAGCGGCAGAGATGGAGAAAGATTTGAATGGTGCAATGCAGAGCATGTCTATTAATAGCAGCGGCAGCGCAATTGTCAATGGCTGTTGTCGCGGCACCGACTGCATCGTAAGCGACAAGCTTTCGTGCCACAGTCAACAACAACAATTAGGCGCTTGCAGCAGCCTGAGCAACAGTCAAAACAACGGCCATTGCGTCGCATGCAAGTGTAGCGGCAGCATTGAGTCCACGGACGAAACAGATAACGTACGCGTTGGCACAATCGGCAACAGCGCAGTTGGCAGCGTAGCCAATGTTACATCCAGTTTTTCGTACAAATCAGCATCTGCGCAGCAGCTACAGCAACTTCAGCAGCAGCAACAGCAGGCACAGCCACAAACACCATTGCCACCACACGCTAACGCTAGTATCGCGGAAAAACACAAAATGGTTCACGAGTTATGTCAGCAATTAATATTAACGGACGAACAGATCAGGGAATTAAATTATCGCATCCTGCACGAAATCAAGCGTGGCCTCGCCAAGGAAACACATCACAAAGCGGATGTCAAGTGCTGGGTAACGTACGTACAAGATTTGCCCAATGGCAATGAACGTGGCAAATTCTTGGCCCTTGACCTTGGCGGTACCAACTTCCGTGTGCTGCTCATCCACCTCAAGGAGGAGCACGATTTCCAAATGGAATCACGCATTTACGCCATACCACAACACATCATGATCGGCTCTGGTGAGCAGCTCTTCGATCACATCGCCGAATGTTTGGCCAGTTTTATGTCCGAGCACAATGTATTCAACGAGCTTCTGCCATTGGGTTTCACCTTCTCCTTCCCACTGCAACAGCTCGGACTCACCAAAGGTATTTTATCCACTTGGACGAAAGGTTTCAATTGCTCCGGTGTGGTGGGTGAAGATGTTGTGCAACTGCTGAAGGACGCCTTAGCGAGACGTGGAGATGTACAAATTGAAATTTGTGCCATCCTAAATGATACCACAGGTACACTGATGTCATGCGCTTGGAAAAATCACGATTGCAAAATTGGCTTGATTGTGGGTACTGGCTCGAATGCCTGCTACATGGAACGCGTGGAAGAGTGCGCTATGTTCGAATGTACTAGCAATGGTAAGGAACATATGCTGATCAATACCGAGTGGGGCGCACTGGGTAATAACGGTNGTGTTCGAAGGTACTAGCAATGGCAAGGAACATATGCTGATCAATACCGAGTGGGGCGCACTGGGTAATAACGGTATGTTGAACTTCATTCGCACCGAATTCGATGACGAAATCGATCAACACTCTATCAACCCGGGCAAGCAGCTGTTTGAGAAAATGATATCGGGCATGTACATGGGCGAATTGGTGCGTCTGGTAATAGTGAAATTGGTCAAAGCGGGCATACTCTTCAAGGGACAGGATTCGGATGTACTAATGACTCGCGGCCAGTTCTTCACGAAATACGTGTCGGAAATCGAGGCTGACGAACCTGAAAACTTCACCAACTGTCACATGGTGTTGGACGAATTGGGCTTGAATGACGCTACCGATGAAGATTGCGCCAATGTCCGTTACGTCTGCGAATGTGTTTCGAAGCGTGCGGCGCATCTGGTGTCTTGCGGTATTGCCACCCTCATAAACAAAATGGACGAAAAACAGGTAACTGTAGGCGTTGACGGCAGTGTTTACCGTTTCCACCCGAAATTCCATTCGCTGATGGTGGAGAAAATCACAGAATTGGTCAAGCCAGGAATTAACTTCGATCTGATGTTGTCCGAGGATGGTTCCGGTCGTGGTGCCGCGCTTGTGGCGGCGGTAGCGTGTCGGGAGGACAACGTCAGAGCAAAAGCTAAATAAATGCAATTAGCCGCCAAAGGAATATGTGAGTAAGCCCACAAGCCGTGAAAAGGCGCAAGCTACCAGTGCCCCCTCCCCTACATAACATATTGTATACATCTGTAAGTGAATAAGGCTAACAAGCTTACACGCCAACACAACAATAGTAATGTTAATTCTTATAAAAAAAAAAATGCTGTGACAGCCGTCACACAATTTAAATAGTAGAAGTAGTGATGTAACAAAAACAACAAGAAAACCAAAAAAAAAAAAAGAAAGCGATACAAAAACTACGATGCAGCAGCAGCAATCACATGACATGACGTGACGTTTTACGCGCAAACTCAGTAGTGAAAGCAACAAAGTGATAGTATAAAAATAAAACAGGATACAAAGGATGAAGAGTAGTGCTGTGCGATGATGGGGCAGCAGCGCAGAGTGTGCAGAGCAACGTGTGAGAGATAGGGAAGGCCGCAGGCAGCCAGCCCTCCTGAGCGTGCAGTGATGTGACCGAGTATTGCCGCAAGAGTTGTACGATAACTAAAAGATGTAACAGCAACAACCATACAAGCATACAGTTGTCACTAGTTTTGTACATTTGTTGATTTTTTAGCAATAAAAAACTAAAATTATTATAACTATTATATAATATACATACGAGTATAAAAAAAAATATTTTAAACTGCACTATTTTGTTTTTAAGAATTTCGTTTTTACATATGTATATTCCTATAGAAAAACGAAGGCAATGAACGAATTTGAAACATTGTAAATTTGGCAGAAAAACGTATTTTTATTTAGTTTTATGTTGCCTTGGCACCTCTAGATTATTTATTTGGTTACTCTTAGCAGAAAAAGACAACTGCATTACACTGCTTTCGGGCAAATTTGCATGTGTGACTAGATTAAAAATGGAAATAAAAAAATCAAGTAAAAAACTAAATAAAAATCAATCAAATTAGTGAAAACTTTTAAACTTGTGCAAAGCATAAACATGAAATTAATATAAAATTAAAATGTTCAGTTAGTGCCGTTTTACTATTTCGTAAAAATAGCAAATGTATAAACAAAGATTTAGAAAGCAGCAAATAAAAAATTACTACATCACTGAACAACCTGCTTTATTTAGATTCATCAGAAAAAAATGTTCACTCATACATTCATAAAATTGTAAAAATGCGCATCCCTAATGTAGTGTTACTTAGTTTGTTAGTTAATATTGTACTATATATGTAATTAAATCACCTTTTATGATTCCGCCTTTAATTTATAAAATTTTTGGTTTTACTTAAATAAATAAAAAAATTAATCTTATGTGACGCGATTCCGTTTTAAACAAGTTTTATTTTAATGAAAATCTATTTACTATTCCCAAATTACCTATTGTTTTGTTTTGTTTAACTCTAATGGCAACCCAAGATATAATTTCTTTTATTTATATGTATACACCTATATACTTACTATCTACAAATATCTATTACAAATCTGTACGTACATACATATAAAATAATATAATATTAAAAAAAAAAAATACTATTTTAAGTTTAAAAAACTCATTAAAGCAACAAATTGTTATTCAATGTTAATACAAAATTTTGCTTTATAAATAGTTTTAAATTTATAAATATATATAAATACTTAAAAATACATACCTGAGTAAATAAATTGGCATTAAAATGCATATTTATATAAAACAGTAAAACAAGATTTGGTTCGTTTTTTTTTTTTTTTTTGAGTGTGCGGCGTACTAACTTAATTTGTTTATTGGGGTTTTAGTTGTACATGCGGTCTCCGGTTCAGTTTCAGATTCATTTCAAATGACAGTCGCCTTAGAAAACGAGGTTTTTTCANGTTTTTGAGTGTGCGGCGTACTAACTTAATTTGTTTATTGGGGTTTTAGTTGTACATGCGGTCTCCGGTTCAATTTCAGATTCATTTCAAATGACAGTCGCCTTAGAAAACGAGGTTTTTTCATAAAAAGCAGAACCAGAGTCGAATAGATGTTAACAAGTAAACGGTTATCACTCTGAACTCTCTCTCTTCTTCATTACAAGGAGCCATTTTTACCACATGCACGAATAAAGTGCAGAGCCCCAACAAAGTCTTCAAATCACTTGCCGACAGCACTTGGGACAAAAACAAGAAAATGTTGTTGGCAACATACAAGGCATTTGGCAGGACGATTCTAAATTATGCAGCACCCGCGTGATCGCCGGAGACTAGTAGGACGCAGTGAACAATAGAAATGCCACAACACAGAACTCCGGACAGCCACGGGATGCCTTCTGATTTCGCCAGAACACCATATATATATGTATGTATGTGTATAAATAGTGAGACCCAAATGCTCCCAGTAAGGGAGCACAGCAGCAAGCAGTTCCTTGCTTGTGACGGAACCTCAGCCTAGCCACGCCAGAATGCATCTCCACGAACTGAAGGACGAAGTCCAACGTTATGTATAACAACCACTGAACTCGGGACTGTACAGACTGAAAATTAACGTTATTTACAGCGAGACCATTACCACCTATTAAGACTTCCGTCCTGTGAATGTGAGCTTCAACTTCCGAGAGGGCCCGCGTAATACTGATCAAATTATGGTATGGATTATAATCTCAACTCCTACCTATCCAGCCTCGTCCCCGACATACATACGTAATGAGTACCCAGCATGTGGACATTTACGCCACGAGACCAACTACCTCTTCACATGCCCACTCAAATGAAGTCAGCTAACACCCTTGTCTGTCTGGTCCGATACCTCGAAACAGAATGTTTTCTGGGCCTACTGTTAGTTGAGCTTAACGACAATGATTTGTATGTACGAGTATATACATAATAATAATAATAACAATAATAATATTATTATTTATTTTGGAACAAATTTCCGTCACAACGCCGAAACAGGTTTGTCAGCAAACCAAGCTTGACAAGGGATCCTGTCGGAAAAATCAACTGACACCAACACAATAATAATATTAATATTTTGGCGCTAACTACAACAATAAGACAGTAGGGAGGCAAAAAAATCACAGCTAAACGGCCAACCACATAAACCAGTTTTAAAGTTTTTATACCAAAATTTTGCACGTGACTATTTTTAGATATTACCGTAACTATGTCTTAAAATCATCGAAATCGCGTCACTATAACACATAGCTTCCATATCTCAAAATTTTGACGTGATACGGATTTTCTGAAAACAGCATCGTAATCTAGAGGCCAAGATTGAAGTTCACGTGATTGGTCATTTACCAGTAATATTTCAAAATAAATTTGTGGCCTACAATTTTCGCCGCCTCTGAACGGCAAATGATTAAATTTGAGTAAATAAAGACACGGTAGAAAATTGGTAACATGACAATCTATTGCATAATTATTTTAGAATACTGTAAGGCCAGTTACAAGGAATAGATAAACCAAGAGGTTTCGTATATTTGATCCAAAAGAAGGCACCTGGGCCTGAAAAACTTAAATTTAGAGGTTGCCACCCGCACTTGAAATTTTCATTTTTCAACAATTTCGAAATTTCGTGTAAGAGGATATTTTCGATAACTAAAGTCATATTTTATTGCAGAAAAACAATGTGGTGTTTATACCACAATTTAATGCTGAAAACGATGGAATAGTTGGCTTTTCATAAAAAATTACTTACGACCGGCAATACCGCATTTTTGAGATGGAAAATTAAAAAAAAATCGGGTTTTCTAATTTCCAATTCAAATATGCTTTCCGAACATTTATACATCCTGAGCATAATAGCGAAAGCCTCATATAAAAAGCATTATTTCGGTAATTTTCGCCAGCGCGGATTCGTCTATTACCTATTTACCCTTGGGGTCAGCTGATTAAGTTAAGTAACATTTTGATCAGTTTTGGTTTTTTTCTTTTGTTTACTTAATGTTTATAGTTTTTTTTTTTTATAGGTAAAAGTCTAGCGCATTACATAACCAGAACCACATACATAAATCCACATTTCAAACTTCGCACAACAATTACACCCAAAAATTTTAAACTTTTTGTTTAGAATTTTTAAAAAAGGCAGTTTTATAGCCCATTAAATGTAAGGATACAAAATTCGTACCTGTCCCACCCGTGACAGAGGAATTTCGAATTTTTTTTTTTTAATAAAGCAATAATTTTTGCTTTGCTTGTATTCGTGGTTCTTTTTTTATTTCAAGACATCAAGTGCACACAGAAAAGTGCAATCAATACGCAGAGTTTCCGTAAAATATATCTGCTCCAAAAAGTCGGTTTTTTTTTGTGCCACCCGTGACAGAAGAAATAACTCAGCTTTTTACCGATTTTGTAATAACTCATATAATTTTGGTTGATGATTGGTATTTTTATAAAAACAAAAAAATAGTTGCAAAGAAGTTGTAGTCTGACGAGGAAATATTTATGCAGAAGGTCTGTAAGGCGGTTTTAAATTGGTGCGGATAGTTCTAGGCGTTCTCGTGACTTTTGATGTCCTTAAAGCCAACATAGCCCAGGCCAACGCTCTAATTCTGGCGGATCTAAACGATGTTATATACCGTACATAATGTCATTCGTGGGACTTTTAAACGAAACCAAAAATTTCGTTGATAACTCACATATAGCTTGTTTTATTCCATCTACCCGCCCTCATTGAAAACCCCTTTTATTCACTAAAATGTTTAAAATGCGATAGTAATCGACATGCGACTAAATAACAAGTTGAAAATTTTGATGATTTTTTTTTGGAAATTTATTACATTTCTCTGAATTTGTTTATGTTTAGAATCTACTATAAAAAATTGACGAAAAAAATCTATATTACAACTTCTTTTTTTTATACAAAATAACTTACTAATAAAATGCACCGCCCTAATGTACATAAGTATATCCGTGCTGTTGCACATTTGCATACGGGTATTTACTACATCGCAAAACTGCAAAGTAATCACAACTAAGAGATGGATTCCTATCATAATTATATTTACAATACTTATGTACGAAGTTGAGTACTTGTACACAGATACATACATATGTACATACTCGTATGTGATCTGCTTTAAGAGTATTTTTAAATAATATTTAGTATATGATTGAAACTAATTGCTTACATTAGGTGGCAGTTGCGTAAATGAAAATATGTAAATTATCTTTGGTTGTGGTAAATTTAACGCCAATGCTGGTTAATGCGAATTGACCTTATAGCATAGACAGACGGCAACGTTAATCCGGATTAAAATTATACCCTGACAGGCGGCAGTGTTGCGGATTGAGCGACTATTAAAGTAGGGTGTTCGATTACCATGGACAGGAACATTTAATTTTTTTTTTAATTTTCGTTGCTCCTCTTAATTTGCCGTCTTTTAGTGGAATATTTAGTAGTGCTTAATTAAATTAAACTCTAAAAAATTAAGTTAACTTGAAATAATTATGTGAAATAACATAAAACCAAAAATAATAAAATAAAATATTAACAAAAACATTAAAAACAATAATAAAAAAATAATAAAATAAAAGAAAAAAAATATATTTTTAAGAATTACTTTAGAACACGCAAATCTAGCCTAGGCATCTACCTCGTCGGCGATAGTGTATTCACCATACTAATTCAAATAAGTTCTTATTCAATTTCAATTGGATTATTGTCTGAATTATTCTAGCCGACGAAGTAGATGCCCAGGGTAGTTTTGCACGTTCTTTGTATTCTACGATCTCTGCGGTTGTGCCAGTGTTGTAATCGAAAATGCCCCTGATCCGTATTAAGTTTGAGAATTAACTCTAGGATTTTGAGGGTCTTTAGTTCAATCAAAAAGATAAACGAAAAATTAAAAGCAAATTAGTTTTCTGGCAGAAAAATATTGGTTTTTAACTATTCTATACCATTTCTACGAAAAGTTTTTTTCCCCCATATAAAATACGCTTTGAGCGCTTTGTGC